GATCGAGGCAAAAATGCCATAATTCTTTGGCAATGTCAGCCAGTTGCTTGGATTTTGTACCTCCTAAGCAATTTATATATTGGACTGCTGATATGTTGTCCATCTTGAGAAGGATACAGCAATGGCATTTGTGTTTCGCAAAACTGCGTAGAGCGAAAAACCATGCCATGAGTTCCAGGCAGTTTATATGCATTTTCGTCTCTTCTAGAGACCATTTGCCTACTGTGGAATTGCCTCCACAATGAGCTCCCCAGCCTAAACGACTTGCGTCGGATTCTATAGTTAGGTCTGGGAATGACGTGAAAATGGCTTTCCCGTTCCAAATTTGAACGTGATCTAACCACCAGGAAAGTTCTATTCTTGTCTCTGAAGTTAGAGAAATCTCGTCTGAATAAAGGAGACCATTGTTTAGATGTTCTCTTTTCAATCTTTGAAGAGCCCGATAGTGAAGGGGGGCTGGAAAGATAGCCTGGATCGAGGCTGATAAAAGTCCTACAATCCTTGCTAACGACCTGATGGAAATTAATTCCTTCTTTAGAACTGACCTGATCTCTTTTCGAATTGTTTTCAACTTCCGTGATGGAAGTCTGAGAGTGGCTAAATTGGAATTTACTAGAAATCCTAAAAATTCTATCTCCTGAGAGGGAGTTAAAATCGATTTTTCGTAATTTATTACAAAGCTAAGGCTTGTTAACAGATTCAATGTCCATTGGGAATGTAGTTGAAGAGTTTGCACACTCTGTGACATAATCAGTATGTCGTCTAGATATATTATCATTCTTATTCCCCTGCTTCGAAGTAGGGATATTACTGGTTTCAGTAATTTGGTGAAACACCAAGGTGCAGAGGATAAACCAAATGGCAATGATTTGAATTGCCATTTCTTCCCTTGCCATAGGAATTGTAAATATTTCTGACATGAATGGTGGATAGGTACCGTAAGGTATGCATCCTTCAAATCTATTTTGATCAACCAGTCGTTGAACATCAACAGGTCTTTGAGGTAATAAATTCCCTCCATTTTGAAATGGTGGTATCTGACAAAATTGTTTAAGTATTTCAAGTTTATGACTGGTCTGTGACCATAATCTTTCTTTTTCACCAAGAATAAATTGCTTATGAAGCCTGGGCTGTTCATGGGCACCTGTATGATGGCATTTTTTGAATATAAATTTTATATTTCTTGATGCACCAGGGCCTGGTCTTGGGCTGAAAATTTTATCGGGAAAGGCATGTTTCTTTGGACGGGGAATGATATAAAATCTATTTTGTAACCTAGAACCGTGTCTAGTATCCAAGAGTCGTTTGTAACCTGACTCCAGACATGGAAAAAACGAGTGAGTCTGCCCCCTAACCTTACTGGGAAAGAACGGGGAGTTGTCATACTCACCGGATGAAGATCTGAAGCGAGACATCCCTCGATGGCCTCTCGATCTCCAAGGTCTGCCACGTAGTGGAAAGGAAGGAGTTGATTGTTGGGTGTCATATGAGGATCTGGAGGGTTGAAAAGTGTTCCTTGGAACCTGTCTATGCTGAAAGGAACGGCTGGAAGAACGGTTCCTTCCTCCTCCAGCCCTTCCGAAAACCTTAGGGTTGAAAGCTTTCTTCAGGGATAACTGAGCCTTATTAAGGGAACTAAACAGATTGACATATTTATTAATGTCTTTAATAAAGGATTCTCCGAATAGGAGACCTTCCGCAGCTGGACCAGGTTCGGAAGTAGCCAGATTTGACAGTTGAGGGTCAATTTTCATTAAAATAGACCTGCGACGTTCGCTGGTCAGCGCTGCATTAGCATTCCCCAAAAGATATATAATGCGTTGGGTCCAGCCTCTCAAAGTATCAATGCTGGGAGGATTCCCAGAAGCTGCCGCATATTCCAAAGTTTCAAACATTTTAGTCACAGGACCAGAAATGTCCATTAATTTATCTTGACAAGATTTCAGTGATCTGTCAAGGCCTTTATTAGGGTTCTTCCGTGATTTTGATAAAAATTGTACAATAGTAGGATCTAGATCAGGGGTCTGTGCGACTTTCTTTGATAAGGTCGGTCTTGGGCATTCAGCCCTTAGTTTATTTCTAGTCGCTTGGTCAAGGGGTTTCCTTAACCAGTGTTCAAGATATTTGGCTACATGAGTCATAGGGACCCATTCGGCTGACCTGGGGTGTTTAATATGGTCTGGGTCAAATAATGGTTTACCATTAAAATCCAAAATAATGTTTTCCTCGTCAGATTTAGAAATAAGCTCAGGTGTCTCTGAGATATATGATCAAATTGAGGCAGAGTCAGAGTCAGATTTTTCATCCTCTGAGATTGAAGATGATTCACTATCTGAGGAGGTTTTATAGGAATCAGGTTTGTTCCTGTGAATGGCCTTCCGAGCCCGTTTAACTTCCTCACGAGCAGAGGGTCTTTTGAGTGATTGATTACACTCTTCAGTTTTGCGTGAAGCACGCATTGTTTTCTTGTCTTGGTCCTTCCCTCTCTTAACTTGCTTAGAGCCATTAGGGGATTCTGCAGGACCGTCAAAGCAATGTTTGCGTTTCTGGGTGGCCTTCCCAGACCTCCTAAAACCTTGAGCTAGGTTTCGTTCAGACTCCACAGATGACCAGAATTGGTCTGAAGGAGTATTAATTAAATAAGTCTTCTCACTGGGTTTTGAGTTATTTATGGCTTGAGCCACAGACTTTGCAATTGCCTCTTGCATAAAGGACATTGCAGTATAAATAGCAGAGGAAACTGACTTTTGAATGGATAAATACACAATATTATGTAAAGAATCCTCAGTGAGGATTTCACAGTCATGAGAAACACCAGGTTTTGGTGATTCAATCTGTCTGATCTCCTTAGAGTTCATAATTTCAAAATTGCAACAAATAGTAATTGTATCTACTATTCGTAGAATAGTTAAATAGTAAGTAAATGTTGCCAGCTATGAGGGAAATACTGACAGGAATTCAAATAGTTCAAATTATAATAATTACCATTAGAGAGTAACAAGTTGTGAGGAAAGCGCTGTCCTGAGGTAAAGTGGGCGGGAAAGTTAGCTGAGGACCAACTAACTGGTATTCCCGCCCATAAACATCATCAATGTATAAGGGACTAACTGACAGAAAACGCGCGTGCAACGGTTCGTGTAGAAACTGCTGAAATGACTGAACAGTTTAAAGACAAAAAACTATAAGAAACATAGAATTACTTCAGAAAAGCATATATTCCAGTGAATAAATACATATGTCAAACATATAATCAAACTAGAAGGTATGTTTAGAAAACAGTAGCATAAGTGAATATATATGATACTTATCTCTACTGGAGCAGCAAAGAAAGAGGGAGAATATTGGGGATCATTCACTATATGGACTATACTGGATGCTGATTGGCTACCAACGTTCCATTTCAGTTACTCTGTTGTTTTACCTTTTTTATTCACTAAACTTTATTGAAAAAATGTCTTTGCTGCTGGAGTTAAGTAAAGAAAGTTAATGCATAATACGAGCCTCCTGTCTTGTTATAAAATCGGATTTTGTAGAAAGTTACATAGTGACACAGTAATCAAAGTTGAAAAAAAGACAAAAGTCAATCTAGTTCAGTCAGTTGTAGAAGATCACTGGTCTGATCTAATATTATCACAAAATATATCTAAGGGAACAACAGAGTTATTGCAAATATACCTAAAATTGGTATTATAGGATCCTTTGAATAACTGACCACTATTAAGAATTGTTTTCAAAAGAAGAGAGACACAATTAATATTTACAGAAGACACATTCAGATAATTGTACAAGATTTGTTGTCCCAAGCTACTCAGACAATAAAATGTGAATTAAATATTACGGTTATTTAATAAAGTGTGAATAAAAAGTAAATTTAAAGAGAATTTTAAATTATAGTACAAAAGTCTGAACTGTTGAACGAAAAACATTTTAAATGTACTTCCCTCTGCTGGACCAATGCAGTTTCGGTATGATCTATCCTAGAAGGACATTGGCCAAAACCATTATGGTAGTTTTTTCGGTCATACCCACCAAAACAGAGAGTAGCCTCCTTCTGAGTCCATAAAAGGAATACCATTACGTTGAGTAATAACAACATTAAAATCCCAGAATATATTTGAAAGGAAACACACTTCCTGGTTTTCTAATTATTGTTATTCTATTCAAATTCAAAGAATTAGGTTTTACTTACTAATTATTGTTATTCTATTCAAATGCAAAGAATTAGGTTTTACTTACATATGGCTGTCCATTTATACTCAGTTTGCTACATTCCTACTACCCTGCTGGAGTGTTACAGAGTCTCCTGAAGTGCTTTAAGGGGTTTGGAGAGTTTGTCTTAATCTCCCAAAAATCAATGGTTTTACTTATTTGCTCAATTCCTTTTTGAATTAAGGAAAACAAAATGGCATGTCATCATGTCAATAAAGGAAAAACATTTACTATGATATATAGGGGAGCCATGTAAAACAATATCCAGATTTCATTCTAGGATTTCAAGGGTTACTCCAAGCACCATGACCACTTCAGTGATTTAAAGTGCTCAAGTGCTAGAGTTGGATGTGCATTGCAGTTTAACCCCCTCTGCTGCCAGAGGTGTTATTCCACCTCCAGCAGAATCATTGAGGCATAATTAGCTAGCCAATTTCAATTCTGTGCAAATTTCTATGAACACATGATCATTTACTGGCTGAGAAAGGCCAGCTGACATTCTGAGCCAATGAATGAGCAGCAAATAGTCCGTCATGATTCCATTTTATTCCAGAAGTTGTGTCCTTAAGGGGTTAATAATGTAATTAGAGCATAACATTCTAGATAACTTAATAAGGGTGCCCAATAGGCTTAAATATTAACTTAAAAAACAAAGGAAACAGCACTAAAATAAACCAATACTGTAAATGGGAAGAATACGAGGCAGCAAACCTAAATATAGGGTTCCCTCCAAACCCTATTACCAAATGCTAGTACAAAAGACAAGACAAATAAAAGGTTGCACCATAGCTGACTGTAGTACAGCTACTGATAAACACAGTTCAAAATATGGTGGTAAATATTAAGAAAAACCTTGAAAAAGAAAGATACCAAAACAAAGTCCTTAATGGTGTCTGATGAAGGGGGATATTCTCCGTGTGGACCAAATGGAGACGGCTTTTCTGGATACGTATGTGAAGAGAGGAGAAGATAATGGTGCAATACGTCTAGTACTGAATGTGACATTTTAAGAAATGTTATCCCTGAAAAGCCCAGCAAGGTTTTTAGAGGTGCTCCAAATTTTAAAACTATCCTCACCAAGAATTACACAATAGACCA